TTTTCCTGTGAGAAGGACAGCTATTGTGGAACTCTCCCTCTATGAGAAATCCAGTAAAAAAAAAAAAAAAAAAAAAAGATATTAAAATAAAGTAAGATTCATGTCCTTACACAGCTAAACCCAGATAAGTAGCAGCTTTCACCACTGACAGGAAGAAAAACAAGAAACCGCCGAGTAGTTTTCTAAAAGCATGTTGCTCAGGAAAGAGTAGCATCCAGGTAAACTATAAAACTAAAAGATGGCAGAGCGGCTAAAAAGGCAGAGCACAAGTAGCCCTGCCAAGCTGAAACTACAGGTAGGGCTGATGGTTTTATGATAATGCTAGTCAAATTAAAATGCAAATGAAGCACTGTCTTTGTGTTCTCCCTTCCAGATGCAGCCTTCCCAGCCTCGTGTGGCCCAGGGTCACCTCTTCTTTCTCTGGCCATCAGAAGCATTTGCTGAGTGTTTCCTCTGGATGAAGCACATGCTCAGTGCATAAGTCTGTACTCCTGCTTTTGGCAAGTGATCATACACATTCTCCTTGTTCACCTTTTTATAGAATCTTTTATTCCTGGAAGAAGTTTTGGAAAATGAGCTGTAGAATTTGGCTGTTTTGTGCCTCACCCAGGATCACCCAGCCAGATATCCTTAACCAAAATCAGGTTACTATCTAGATGGCACAAAGCTGAGAGTGGAGAGAGACTGACAGATCAGCCCAGGCATCTAATGGGGAATTCAGGCAGCCAGCTCATATCCCTGTAACCTCCTAACTATGCCAGAAGAGTGGTGAGCATTGCAGCCAGTCATTGCCAGAAAAATCTTCCCCTCAGCCTGTCAATACACAGTTCAGAATAATATGCAGAGATGGCCCCTTCCTTGAGTGCGGGGAGTAGCCTTTCCACCCTATCCAGTTTGACCTACCTGATAATTCTTGGCTTTCTGGGCTGCCTACATGGTTGCCAGGTACAGACAGTTGGCATGCCACCATTTATGTAAAAATAGTGGAGTAGTGGGAGGAATAATACATTTGTACATAAGCATTTGTTTATGTATCATAAAATATTACTGGACAGTATATGCAAGAAACCAATAACATCAGTTTCTTGTGGGGAAGGAAACTGGGTGACTGGAAGACCAGCATAGCAGAATATTTTTTACTATATACCCTTTTATTCAAAAACTTAAATATGCAAAAGAAAATTAGCTGAAAAGCTCTTTTTTGTTATGGCAGCTTGGTTTATACTATGCCTCCAAAAGGTATAAAATATGGAGGAAGTAGAAAAACAAACTCTAGCCCATCATACCCTGTAATCAACTGCTATTAGTGTGTACATTACATGCTTGCGATCTGTTTCCTCAACTAGATTATAAATCTCCCTGGAACACAGATTGCTTCCTTTTGGTATCCTGTAGCATCGAGTACAATTGTTTCAGAAAGTAGATGCTTAAAATATGCATGTTGATGATAATGCCCAGTGCTAGAAAAGTTTTAGTGAAATTGGCACACTCATGCTGAATGTAACTAAGGGCAATGTGAATTTGTGGAATCATTTTGGAATGCAGTTTTGCAATATGTAACAAGATAAATGGAGATGTTTATGCTGATTGCCTTGTAATTCGCCTTTGGGGATTTTATTCTAAGAAAATAATTTCAAGGAAGGAAGATGTATATATGAAGATGTTCATGATGTTACATGTTGAAACATTGGGACTTACTCAGGAATGACCAAATGTACTGTGGTATAACAACTCAATGGAAAACTATACAGCTATGCAAAATGATGAATAGGAAACTAGCAATATTGAAAATGTTTATGATAAGAAATACAAAAATTTTGATTACAACTTTATATAGTGCTAAGATACTGGGGAGTAACTTGTCTTTTTGTTTTCTTTCTTTATAACCCTTGATCCTTCCCTACATAGGGAGCTAGCATGAGGCAACCATGCTCTCTGGGAGTTATAACTCTGGGATTAGAAAACAGACATCAGATTCCTCTCTTTTAAGCTCAGTTGCACATTCAAGACAGAAAATATTTGGAATAATATGCAGACTAAATAAAAATTATCCAAGCATAGGAGGGAAGAAAAAGTCATTTTACAGATGAGAGAAATAAAACTTAGAGAGGCCCAATATTAATCTGTTAGTAAGGAGAGGAGCCAGGATGTGAACCCAGGTCTGCCTGACTCCAGGAATCTGTGCTCTGATCCATGAGTACCTGAGCAAAATTACCACTGCCTGAAGGTCGTGGAATGGTAGATGCAGAAGGACTGGGAGACAGGTTGGTCTCTGATGAGGCCCCATGTGAAAAGATGTCAGGTTCTCTAAAACATGAGGTCAGAACTGGATGAGGGCCTGATTACCTCAAATAGGCACTGATTTCAAGATACAGCCCAGGGTACCCTGGGAAGAGTTCTCACTTGTCCACCCTAGCTTTCACTCACACCAGCCTGCTGTCCATTATGTCAAAATATGATTGTTTCATGATGCTTTGCGATTTTTTTCAGTCTACAGCAGGGACAGATTTGTATCAACCCCACCATGCTACTTATTCAGACCACGTGTGCTAGATAACTTGCCTTTTCCTGAGGAGTTCCTAGAGTGTAGGGCAGCATAATATAGCTAAGTAGGCTTTTGTCAAGCACACAGTTTGCTTGTGTTTGGCAAGGCCCAGGCCTGCCTGATTCAGCCAGTAAAGATCCAAGGAGCCAGTTTGGGGACTTCCATGGTGGTCCAGTGGTTAAGATTCCGCCCGTCCAATGCAGAGGTGAGGGTTCAATCCCTGGTTGGGGAATTAAGATCCCACATGCCACGAAAAACAAAAAACAAAAAACCAAGGAGCCAGTTTAGCCTCAGACAGTTTATTACTTACATGTATAACAAAGGGAAGAATGCATCAAGGTGCCAGTGGTCCTTGTCCCATGTATGAAAAAGGACACTACTGAAGCAAAAGAAGGGGCCAGGTGACTGCAATGTACGTTCTGGGATAACTGGCTTCTGAGGAGCCAGTTCTAGGCTGCAGCCAGTTCTAGGTTTTTATATTCTCAGCTCTATTCTGATGGGGGTGGGGTAGAAAGCCCACACCTCATCAGAACCTGGGAGGGCTCTGAGAGAACCCTCCTGGCTCTCCCAGGGGAGAACCCCAGGGGAGATTGCCTCAAGGTCTTCATAAGACTGTTCCTTTCCAGTTCTGGAAAGATCACAAAGCATTCTGCTACAACTCAGATAACCGTTGGTTCCAGCCTTTGCCTAGGAGGTCTATGTGGATACATGCAAGGTGGCCAGGGTGCGTGATGGAGCTGTTCCCCCTACAGATTTCTCAGGGTTAGAGGCGTTTTAACCCTGCCATAGAAAGAGAAAATAACACTGAAAACAAAGAAATCTGAATTCAAATCTAGTTCAGTCTGTCATTAGACATATGACTTCAGTACATCCTTTACCTCTCTGGAGCTTGTTTTTTTTTCTTTTTTTTTCTTTTTTTTGGTGTTTTGTTTTCCCCTGAGGTTTGCTGTTAATCTCTCTCTTTTTTTTTAATTTTTATTTTTTATTGCAGTATAGTTGATTAACAATGTGTTCATTTCAGGTGTACAGCAAAGTGATTCAGTTATCCATATACGTTTCGATTCTTTTTCAAATTCTTTTCCTATTTAGGTTATTACAGAGTATTGAGCAGAGTTCCCTGTGCTATACAGTAGGTTCTATTGGAGCTTGTTTTTTGAAATCCATAAAATTACATATTTTTTCTTTGCTTTTGGGGAGGTCTTTTTCCTCTTATTCAAATATAAACTGCACAAAGTCAGGGATTTTGCCTACTTTATTCACTGTTGTAGCACCAGTGCTTGGAACAGTGACAGGCACATGGCAGAGATTCAGTAAACATTTGGATGAATGAAATGAAGTGCAAGATGTTTCATTGTATTTTGTTAGCATATGCATCTGCATTCAAAGCCTTAAAACGTACTTTCGGGTGTTTGTTTTTGTTTGGGGTTTTTTTGGGGTTTTTTTTTTTGCACAAATTTCATAGAGGAATCCCAGTGAAAACATGACTGTACTTTTAGAGGAACTCAACTAAAAAAAAAAAAAAAAGCCTGAGCAAAGACTCATTTAACCTCAGAGTGAATAATTGCATACTGAGGAGTAGAACATGGCACTCAGATGGAACTTTTATTACAATAAAGCCTAATTACACACACCTCTGACAAATGGGTCCTTGTAATAATATAAAATAGGGAAGGCCCAGCTTGTCCACTGTTTTGTTCTACACCTTCCACTTTCCCAGTCATCTCCCAAGGCTCCCCTTTTCTCTTTCTCTCAGCCAATGTATGGTGTAGAATAGGAAATAAATTACGCGTCAAGAGACCTGCCTCTGGTCCTAATAATAGCAAACCATTCACTTCCCTGCCCTAGGTCCCAGTTCCTTCATCTTTATGTGTTTGTATGACACATGTGGTTTTCCTTAAGTGCAATTAAGTGACGTTATTACATCTTTTTCACAGATAAAGAAACCATGGCTCAAAGAGACTGACCTGCTGAAGGTCATTAATTAGTACTAGAGCCAAGCTTTCTGATTCCAAGTTCAGGTTTCTTTCCACCATAACAATGAGACACCCAGAAAATCCCCAAGGTCCTGGTCCTTCCCTCTCCATGTCATCTCCATGAAGGGGCAGGGATTTTTGCCTGGCTTGCTCCGTGTTCTAATCTCAGTGTCTACAGCTCTGCCTGGCACATAGGAGGCACTCAATATATATTTGTCGAAGGAAAAAAATAGATGACTACGTACGTGCCACAGTTCGTCCTGTGATTTCCAGCAAGTTACTGCCCCTTTCTGGATTTCTTCTCTGTCCCCCACCCCCGCCCAGTTTCCTTCCCGCGCCTCGTTCGCTCCTCCGGCCACTAGACGGCACTGTCGTAAGGGAACCCCGCCGAGCAGAGAGCGGCGCTCTTCTTGGCTCCGTTGCGCCTTCCCCCGTTGAAGGGCAGCGCGCAAGAAACCGGAAGTGCTGGAGCCGCCGCCGCCGCCGCCTTTAAGTGCCGCGTTCACCGCTTCGGTTACAGCCGGCGCCGTAGCCAAGGAGGCCGCTGCCCCCGGGTCGGGAGTGGAGGCCGCGCGGCATGAAGCGGCGCAGGCCCGGTCCTTAGCGCGCGTCAGGACGGTCCGGGCGGGGCCGGGGGGGGAAGGTGCAGTATCCGCCCCCTCTCCTTCCCCTTCGCCCGCGAGGCCTGCGCCCCAGCCCACTCGGGCCTCTCCGCCTCACGGAGGAACCGCCCGGCGCATTCTCCCGGTTAGCCCGCTCTGCGGTTTACCCGGCGCGCCGCCCTGCGCGGGCCATAGCCGGTGGCGGGGCCCCACTTGCCGGAAGAGGAAACCCAGGCTCTCAGATTCCGAGTCAGCCAACGTTCACTGGGCGCCCCCTGAGCGCTGGGTGCTGGCCTCCGGACTTCCACGTCCGTTATCTTAATTGAGCCTTGCTGGGGTTGGGAGCCGGGTATTGTCCGGGCTTACAGATGAGAAACGGAAGCCCACAGAGGCGAAGGGATTTGCCTAAAGTCCGACTGTGGCAGATCGCATTCGGACTGAGATTTTCTGGTTTCCCAGCTCGTGTTCTTTCTACTGCCCCACTTTAGGTCGATTCCCTCGTTTACTGTCCCCTTCTCATTCTGTTTCACCTACCTGGCACAGGATAGGTGCTTTTCTTTCCCTTTTTTTTTTTTCAAACCTCTCCCCTCACACATTTTTTCTTCTAAGACTTGGCATTCCCCCAGTCCCCCTTCTTAATATTCTCTGCTACACCTCTTCTCTTCTTCCGCATTCTAGCTTTCAAGATCTTTGCCCACTTTGTGATAATGAACCTCTCAACTAGCTGACGAGTGAAATAGCTAGGTTTCAACAAGGCTTGGGGTGTTTAAGTGGACAAACTGGCGCCTGGATTAAAAATTAAGGAATGACATTTGAGTGGGTCCAAATTCAAGAGTCCTGAGGCTATTTTCTAACCCTACATGCTCTTCTCTGAATGAAGGGCCTAGTGAATGGGGAGGTGTCTTGACATCGTAGTCCGTTGTTGCTGTGTTAGCACAACTTTTTTTCCCTCCATTTGCCACTGAGCCACATCTCTCTCCATCACCTATCTGGGCTCCGAGAGCCCAGAATTAAAACCGATAACAAAGTGACAGGTATAATCACAGACCCTGCTTTTCTTCTTTTACTAAGCCAGAATTTCAACAAACTTAACACTTCCGTTTCTAGAGAAGTTACCTAGTTCAGTTATTTTCAGAGTATATGTGGAAAGGAAATGAGCAAAAATGGAATGCACTGAAAACGGGTAGTACATTCTTTATCTTGTGAAAATCTTGATGTTAACTGGAAGTTAGTTCTCTCCGCAAAAATGACTCTAGTTCTTAGTAGTTATTCTATTGAGTCTGTTCTGTCTCCAGTCAGCTAAATATGTATTCTGTAAAATAATACAAATTGGTTATTATATAAAAGGCAGAAGAACAGGACCAGGCACATAGAAATAAATTTTATTATTAATCATCTGTCATTTTTGAAGATTTGCAGTAGCCACTGAGTAACCTCACATCTGTATGCCTTTTATACTTTTAAATGTTCTTCCATAATTTACCTTTTAATGTGTATCTGGATGTCAGGATTTACACTACCGTTTGGATATTCTTTGGAGTAAATTGGGCTGTACATTGCTGAAATAAAATCAGTTTATAATTTTCATAATTAAAGTGCAGATACAAAGTAATTCAGGCATTGTATATTATATCAAAAAGGATATGCATCAGTTTCAAGTACTATTTGAGACTTTAGGTTTAATCTTTTGGGGCACATATGATCCATTTTAATAATGATCAACAGCTTTATATCTTATTTCATTATCCTGGTGAGCAGGATTGGATGGTGAGAAAAGGAAAGACTTCTGTGAGAAGAGAGCAGGATGAGCAGAGGGATCTATGCTTGAAGTTGAGTCACTTCAAAAAGATCTCTTTGAATGTGGAAGAGATCTGAACAGATGAAAATACAATCAGGTAGGCACCAGGGAAGGGCCTTAAGTGAAGAGGTAGGTGGGGCAGTGAAATATAGGCACTGTGCTAAGAACATGTACTGACCTATTTTCTAATTTTTGCAATTAGAAAACTCGGGTCACATATTTTGAGAATGTATTTGTATGTAAGGTGTTACGGAAATCTGGAAATTAAATCAGTTAGTTACACATTTGTGTAAATTACTAAAATTATGTAATATCAGGTCTAGCCTAGGAAATGCAGGATATACATTGACCATAAAATACAGAATAGTGTCATTTGAACTGTAAAGTGTGTGTGTGTGTGTGTGTGTGTGTGTGTGTGTGTGTGTGTGAAATAGAGAAATAGTCCAGGGACCTAGTACAATTTAGGAATACCAGATAGTTTTGCTTAAGTGCAAGGTAATGGCAACTTTTATGTAAGAGACATGTCAAAATAATGACTCAAGAAGCTGGGCAGTAAGCTTGGGAAGTCTGTCTGAGCATCCCTGTTCCATCCCCAAGCTCTATTGTTTCAAGCAGTGGTTTGGAGATGAAGTTCCAAGTTTAACGAAGGGGAGTTGAGAAGAATGAGCCCAGTTTGTATATCTCCTTGTCTCACCTGTCCCTTACTCTGTTAGGAATCAAACTAGATCCATTGACAAATTTGATAGAAAACGACCTCCACCAGCTTTTAGATGGGCAAACAACCACTGCTGTCATGTACTGCTACTTAATATCAATATGCTGAATACCAGTTGAGCTAAATGACTTTTTCTCTGTCGAGCTGTTTGGATTTTAATCATTGGAGGTAAATGCCCACTTGTAATAATATTACAAGTTGTATACTATAGAATTCTCCAGTAGATTTTCTGGCTGCTCTTGCTACTGTTATATTGAAAACGGTAGTGTAGTTCACTGTAGCCTGAAAAAAGACAATATCGTGGCCGTGGCCTCACAGTTCTGTTCCTTTCGAATGCCATACAGCACACCAGCACACCTGATGGACTAATTCACAACCCATACCTGCTAATGACTTTTTCTCTGTGGTTGGTAGTTTTTACCATGAACTCCTGTTAACCTGTGAAATTAAGGTTTAAAAAAGACATCATGTTAAATATACAGCCATGTATTGATTTTTGTTGTAGAAGTAGTTAATAATTATGTGAATTGGTTACACAAATGCAATCTAGTTTATCTCCTAAGTCCACGTTTCGGACATTTATTAGTTCAAAAAGAGGAGGTTGCCCCAGAATTTTTGTTTATGTTGCTCCTTTTTGGTAGCGTTATGAATAATGCCTGTCAGAATATCATACAGTGGCTTATGATAACACTTCTTGTTATTTTCTCTGATACTTTGCACCTGTTACATTTAAATATTGAAATAGATAAAGGAAAAAATTATCCTCTTCTGGATTTGTAAAATGAAAGAAACATCATTAGTAGATAAAATCTTAATACTGTTTTGGGGTTGAAGTGGTAAATTGGGTTTGGACTTTTATCAAAATATTGATATTACGAACATTAAATGTTTTGTGCATAAACTACAACTAAAGCCACTTTTTTCTCATTTAATCATAGAATTTTTATAATCTGTAGTAATAGTCACATAAATTCCTTATAGTATAGAGTTACACAGGGGATCATCAGATAGTGATGTCTAGGCAAGAGCAAAAGACAAAGAAAAAATGTACCAGCCAGTTAGGTCTTTTGTTGTTTGGAGTCTCATTTAAAAGGAAACAGTATTTATATTATCTTGGGTAAGCTCCCTAGAAAGGTTATTAGAAGTACATTGTTTGCCACAATTTTATAACTGTTCTAATTGGTCGTGATTATTTCTGTTCTCTGAAGAAGTCCACGTTTATCAAATGAGTTACTTTTTTTAAGTGCAAAAACACTTAACTCCCTTGGCACATTTAGCTTCACTATTGACATACTCTTTGAAGGAACATAGCAGCCAACTGGCATATGGCCCGTTTCCTTCCAGTGTGGGAAAGAAAAAGGAATTTTGGCAAGAGATACTTAAGGAGAGCCTTTTATAAAAGTTCCCCAAGAGATTTATAGTCAACTGTGCAATAGACATGACCTCAATTTTTTTTAATCTCATTTTTGAAGAAAAGGGGGAGCTATTGCTTTTCTTACAAAGTTTAATTGCAACTGTACTGAAAAGCATTTTTTCCCCTTTTTGTGGGGGTTGGGGGGCCCTATCAGACTGTCATTCTGATTAATATAAGAGAAGGCAGACCTGTGAACTTCATGTGCCTTATTTTTCTAGGAAAATGCAACATGGCAGCAGCGATGGAAACAGAACAGCTTGGTGTTGAGATCTTTGAAACTGCAGAGTGTGAGGAGAATATTGAATCACAGGATCGGCCTAAATTGGAGCCGTTTTATGTTGAGCGATATTCCTGGAGTCAGCTTAAAAAGCTGCTTGCTGATACCAGAAAATATCATGGCTACATGATGGCTAAGGCACCACATGATTTTATGTTTGTGAAGAGGAATGATCCAGATGGGCCTCATTCGGACAGGATCTATTACCTTGGTGAGTATGAAGTCATAGTTTCTGAAAGGAAATGCTTTCTTAATTCAAACAGGCTAGATGCAATTGGCACTCAAATTTTGGTGAATAAATAAGTGAATGAATCAGTGATGGTTCCACCAAAGGAAAAAAAAAATAATTAAAAGAACTTCAGTTTTGGTGCTGTTTTCATTTTCTTTTGTCCCATTAACTTGATTTTTATTTGCACATAACAAATCATGAATTGATCATGATCTTACTTTCAAAGTAAAGATGCTAGATATTACTTCTTCCTAAAGCTAGTTCAAAATGCCTTTCCTTAGGAATGGTCAGATTAGGAACACAAATAATAAAAACAGTAGTTTGTTCCCACTCTCAACAGCTACTGCTTTCATTTTTTTAAACCAAGGCTGGTTTTGGTCTCTTATTCCTGAGCCCATTCACTCCAGGTTTAAGGTCTGTCTTCATTAAATGCACGATACCACTGATTGACTTTTTTGTTCCTTTGTTTGTTTATGCACCGTAAATGCTTTACTAAGATGTTGTGGTAAAAGGAATAGGTAGTAAATCCTGAGCAACTATCATGCTTAGGCACAGATTAGTTATTGACTAACCTAGCACATATATAGACAAAGGGCAGTGGATAAAGAGCTAGTCTTGGAATCAGAAGCCTAAGCTCTGGTATCTGCTCTTTGCTGACTTGTTTACCCTGTGGGTCTCAGTTTCCTCATCTATCAAATGAGGGTAATGTCTATCTCATGGGATTGTCTTAAGTATTAAACATTTTACATGAAAATATTTCCAACTTAAACCAATATTAAGAAACACAATACTGTTCTTGTACAGCCAAACCAAGTTTTATTGTACTATGGCTAGTTTGAGGAAGGAAACTAAAAAGGGAAAGAAAAAAAATTTGTAGACCCCATTCCCATCCCCCAAGCAGCTGTCTTCATTACAGTATTATTATTATTTTTTACAGTATTATTTTTTAGGATTGGAAATAATACTTGTAAATTATAGTATGCTGCCTAGCATTCACCAACTGGTAATTATTATTTGTATTAGCTTAAGTCCTAAAAGCCTATTCATTAATTGTTGCTCATTGAACACATTTATTGAGAGATGATGCTAAAATATTTAGGTAAGTCATCTGTGTAGGAAATATATATATATCTTTCTCAAGAAACATATGCTGTGGTTTTTTTCGGAGGCAGAAAGTCAGACTTTCCTCAGATTGGAGAAGCAATATAAGAAAAGCCCATCCATACTTGCTAAATCAGGCAGCTTGGTTGGAAGAGAGTTTGGGCACAATTAGGGGAGGAACCCTTATATTTAGTATAATAGTTAAAAATTATAGCCATACCATCCATAATTCTTAACTATAAACAAATGTCTCACAAAAATGTTTATGAATTAACCATTAAAACTGCTTAAAGAAAGGGATTTCACTCCCAGTACAATAGTTGAAATGGAATCACAAGCCCATAAGTTTTGGAGTTTCCTTCCTGTAGTCACACTATTTTATTTTCCTAACCCAGAGCCTGAAGGGAATGAATGGTTGTTAGAATAAGGAAGAAAGGATGTGCGAGATGGGAACACTGGAGGAACTGAGGCCTGAGTTGAGTCCCACAGCTAGGGGTTGGGTGGGAAAGGAAGGGCTGAATAGCCAGAGATGTGTTTGAGGGCCGACCTGCTAATGTGCCTTTGTTTATTAAGTTTTTAAAAATAGGTTTTCTCCCGTCCTCCAAAGCTGTTTGACAATTTTTTTTTAAAGAGATGTTCTCTGCATGAGTCCACATTAGTAATTGTAGATTCATTTTTTTTTAAGCAACTCCAGAGTATTCCATTATATAATTGTGCCATCTTTTACTTAACCAGGCCTCTAATAATGGGCATTTAGGTTTTTCTATTTTGGTATTAACAAAAAATGAGGGAGCAGATATCACTGTATTAGATCATTTTTGTACATGTGTGAATTTACTTAATAGGACTAATTCCAAAGAGTGGAATTATTGGGACAAAAGGTGTACAGATTCTGAATTTGTATTGATATTGCCAAATTGCCCCTCCATTGAGATTATAGAGTTTACATCCCTGCCAGCATTGTCTCAGAGTATTTCTCTACACCTGTACCAATAGTGAGTAATAAAACTTCTTTTTATCTTTCCCAGTCTGATTGGTGAACAGCAGTTCCTCACTGTAATTTTTTTTTAATTATTATTGTTTTTTTAATTGACATATTAGTTTCATGTGTACAACATAATGATCCGATATTTATATACATAGTGAAATGATCACTGCAGTAAGTCTGGTTAACATCTGTCACCATACATAGTTATAGTTAAAAAATTTTCTTGTGATGAGAACGTTTAAGATTTATTCTCTTAGCAACTTTCAAATATGCAATATAGTATTGCTGTACATTATATCCCCATATTTCATTGTAGTTTTAATTTTATTATGAGTGAGGTTGAGCATGCTTTCCCATATTTACAAGGCATTTGTATTTCTTTTTCTGTGACTGATCTGTTTGTAATCATTGTCTATTTTTTATTGGGTTGTGGGTGCTTTTCTTATTGACATAAAGCACTTTTTTGTACAAGAAGGGAATTAACCCACTGTAGTAATTTTCCCTGAGATTTAATGTCTTTTGCCTTTAGTGCCTTTTGCCCTTCTGTAGAAATCTGTGATTTTTATTTTTTGGTAGTTAAATTTTTACTTTTTATGTAGTTTTGCATCACATCTAGAAAGGTTTTCTCAGCTCCAAATTATATTTTTTGAAATCTTTATTTACTTTGGACTTCGTTTTGTTCCATTGATCTGTCTGTCAAATCAAGTGCCAATGTCACACTGCTGTTACTATTATTTTTATCGTAACTTTGGATGTTTTACTATTTTATAGTACTAGTCACCCTTCATCACTCTTTTTCATACTTTTCTTGATTATTTTTGTTTGCTTGTCTTTCTGTGAGAGCTTAAAATTAGATTAGAGCTCCTTTCTCCCAATCCTATTTATACTGTTTTAAGATTACATTATATTTATAGATGAAGTTAGGAAAATGGACAATCTTTGTAAAATATTGAGCTTTTCAAGAAAGTTGTATGCCATTTCATTTGCTCAAGTCTTTTATATCCATCTGAATATTAATATTTTTCCATGTAAATCTGTTGTTTCAGAAGTTTTAATATAGTTCAGACACCAATAAATAGCAGTGTGTCAACAGGAAAGAAACAATGGGAAAAGGTCATTTTGTGTTTAACCAGAACTGGTGTGTGTGTACATAGAATGTGTTGGAAATTTTTATTGGTCAAGGTTGAAGCCAAGGAAGACATTATGGAACAAGGAGCAGTTTTAAGAGGAGCATTTGAAGTGATTGTGGATGGCTCTCATTTGAGGGTAGATGAGAACCAGCTTTTTCATATTTGCAGGTTGAAAGCTCTTAGAAGGAAAAGGCTTAAGGAGGATATGATCATATTTTGTAAGATTATGAATGGTATGGATAAGTGACTGCAGTCTTAAGAATTATGTAACAAAGTAACTCTGGAATGTACAAAATAGATCTAAGGCAAAACTAAGTGCTGAAGTAAGTATCAGCTGATACCTGACTTTTTTACTCCAAAAGGCAACAAACTAAGAAAGGTTTAAGAAAAGTTTAGGATAATAAAAGGATAAAGGAATCTGTGGGTATTTGGAGAGTCATCCCCCACCTTTGCAAGGGTTAGCATGGAAGTTACCATGCCCTTCCACAGACTGCCTTCTCTGCAATTATCAGAAACACAAGGCTAAAGATTTGTTCCACTAGAGAGAGTTTCTGTTCTTCCTGTGTGATTTATTTTCTCTTTCCTTCACTCTCCCCTAGCTTTTTTTGGAAGTGATACCTTCTAGCACCTTTTAGAGTAGAAGGACTTTGTTTTACTTTGAGTTTTCTTTGGTTCCCCTCTTCATAACCATGTTGTATTTCTATTACTTCTCTTTGGTATGTAGTTTATTCTACACTGCTGTGATCTTCCCATTCAGTTATTGTATGATTTCACAGAATAGATCTGTCTTCTACTTAGTGTAGACCTCTTTCTTTCACAATTCTCGAATAAAGGATGAAGAGACTTTTAACAAATCAGATATCAGATTCTGTGTTGTTTTAATATGAATGTACTTTCATTTGAAACTTATTAGTGATTATAATGGTAGAACATTTATAGTGAAGAAAAACTCAAATTGTTAGACCTATGTATATTTCTAAGTAAATACTTTAAATGATTCATAAAAAGAAGAAGCTTGGTAGTCTGAAGTTGTCACAAAGTACCCCCATTTGGAATCTAATGAGTCTGTTGCCAACTTGTAAGACACTAACAATTAAAAAAAAAACAAAACTAAAAGTGACACTTATCCTTACATCATCTTATACACTTTTATGTTTGTTTTGAGAGGGACTAAAATTTGAATATCAAAAGGAAACCTGAGGGCTTCCCTGGTGGCGCAGTGCTTGAGAGTCCGCCTGCCGATGCAGG